GTTCACTCCAGGATGGAGCTGCATCTCCAGACCTACATGCAGAAGTCGGAACTATTTCTTGTACCTTGTTTTTCAACACAGACAGGTTCTGGCATACATTTCAACATTTTTTAGCCCGGAAGGTCAATTATTACCCAACAGTTGATGGGGAGTTGTGTTGAGCTGTCACCTTTGTTCAGAGACACTGATCTTTGACTACTTATGTAGAAAGGAGAGACACACTGATCAACACAGTTTGGACCAAACAACTTGCTTTTTGTATATGTTGTCAACTGCAGGAAAATGGAATTGGCAAAAACAAACAAAAAAACCCAAAGAAAAAACATATATGGTCATAAAACTGTCACAAAGGTTCATAAAAAATAACCTTTCATGTTGTTCTCCTGTACGTTGCAGTTTTAATGTTTTCATAGCCGTGGAGTTTTCCTCCTGAGAAAATGACAGCTTATTTCAGCGGCTGCTTCTTTCCTGTGGTTGTTTAACCCACAGTCACCTCCTCCAGTCCCATTGTCTTATTCATTATGTGCCAAGGGTCAACGTGACTCAGGCTGTTGAAAAATATGATAGGCTCTGTAATTTTAATCCCACAAGTTTACTGTAGAATTTTCTGTCATTTCATTTTTTGAAATAAATATTTATCAAATTGTATTTTATGTTGTTTATTGATTTAAATCAGGAGCAACATATACAGTTATTTAATGTGTTTTTTTTTATTTTTACAGCATGTGACCACTATTACACACTATATAATTATATTTATATTTTAATATTTCCTGTTTTAATTTCTCATGAACTACGAGCACTTCCTTCACCATCTACTGGTAGATCGTGACCTACCTATAAGGCAGCCCTGTTGTAGTGTTATCCACAACAGGCTGTAAAATGTAGTACAGACAAATCCATACATTACTTTTGGATCTGTGTATTAAAATTAAAATAAACAAATATAAACGGACTTGTCATCTGATCTTTGATGATTCTCAGTTTTTCCATATTGGCCTAAACATCATCAAATCAGGAAATACAACATTGGAAAACACTGCTATAGTTACAGAAAATGAACTTGTGAAGCGTTCCAAAATGAAACTTGATTCATCTCTTTGGTGGCACCATCTGCCTCTACACAGACAACAGAGCAGCAGGCAGAGCAGATAAAGTAAGCCGAGGCCGTTTTAAAAGGCTTACAGCATATGCCCACAGACGTAGACGTATTGGTTCCCCTTTAATGACGCAACCCTCAATTATACCCAGCTTATGTTCTGGCATATTCACGGTTAGAACAGGCCCGTAAACAGCACTTATGTCTACGTCAGGTCTGCGGACTTTAACGATTGGTTGACGTAAGGGTAGGAAAAAAAAACACTGGTCTTTATTTCCACTGAAATCCAACAGAAATCCTCTCTCCCCAGAGACATTCAACAACTGGAGCGGGCAGAGGGGGGAAAAAAACAGCCACCCACCCAAACACCCACCTGCCCACAGGCTCCAGATTAAATTCAAAACATTTGGATCCAACGATTCCAGAATTGAATGGTAAAGAATGGTGTGAGGATGTGAGGAGAAGGGACTGTGGAGGAGGTTAATGTGTGTATGAGGATCAAAAACTCATTCCCATTGGTTTAGAAACACGAATGGAACAAAGAAGAGAGGTGTTTTTATTCTGAAATCAGACGTTAATCTGTGAAATTAAAAGCAATTGAAACCTTAAATGATCTCTGCTGATCATGTGGCTCAGAGAGTCTCAGGACTAGAACCAAAGTACAGTGAACTGAACTCATATGATAACAAAGTTCACAAAAATGTTTTTTATCTGTTGTTGTACTTTATCGTAGCTTATGTTTCCGGTCATGGTTGGTGTTACTTTTACATATTTTACTTCGTTTTAGCGTTCCCTGGCTACATTTTCTACGCATGTTTCAGCACAGTTCATGTACTTTTTTAAAGTAACCTATTTGAGGGCGAAACCCGGAATCTGATCACACTTGTTCTCCGCCTATGCAAATACCAAGCATTACATTCAAACATTGTTTAGATTTAGTGTTTTTAAATCCAGTACAAATAACAGAGACACAGTGCAATGCCGAACTGTGCAAGTTTTATTGCAAATAGTTTAAAAAAAAGGGTAGGTTAAACAATACCATCAGGTGATGAAAGAAATGAATAAAAGTGCTCTTTTTTTACAAAAATGCATTGGATTTATAAAGTACTCTTCACATTCAAGTTGTCAGGTTGGGCAGCTCTTGTTGCAGCTTATAGAAATCCTTAGTGTATTTAAAGGTGAATGAACACATTTGAAATACATAAAGCTAAAAATAAACATACAAATATACATTTCCTGGTGTATTTACACACTTGGGGTGTGTGTGTGTGGGGGGGGAGGGGGGGGCTTCTCCCAGATTAACTAACAAACAAGCTTAGTGTCCATTCAGAGTAAAGTGCTGGACAACGTTTGTCTGGATCAAATTTTTCTTATCAGCGACGAATGAAGAGGAACATGGCATCGAAGGCCACTGTGAAGGCTTTTCCAATGGAGTTGAAATCCCTGCAGATACAAAAAACCCATCAGATTAGTTAATAGTAACTGAGGGTTAGCAACATAGTTTATGTTTTTCTAGCTAAAAGCTAACTGTGAGTTGGTGTTTTGGCTAACTCTTAGTCTAAGATTCTCAGTCATCCAGGTCACGGTCAAGGTTGGGCAACTGGATGTGAAATTTTCTCAAGAAGACGTTTCACCTCCCCAAGAGGCTTCTTCAGTTCTAACTGGTGGAGGCGAGTACAGCAAATATCTATTCTGGGTGTAACAAAGAAAAGGCTATTTCCTCTTCCCCCTGTTGGGTGGGAGGTCAAGGTCATGGTTGTCAGGAGGAGAATCTGATTCACAGGAACCACGCGACTTTTTGGGCTTTTTTTATACAGCAACCTGCTTTGATGTGGTTGTTGAATTGGGGTCAACCGGGGAAGTGTAGACAGTCGTTAGGAGTGTGATGGGTCGTTGCTATCCTCATCAGAAAGGTTTCAGTCACTTTTCACACGTCTCAAAATTTCACATCAGGTTGCCTAACAGAACTCTTCAACCCTAACCCTTGGCTTTTCTCTTCAATTGGTTCCACATCCCTTCAATGACATTTCTCTCAATTAACTATAATATTTCCATACTACTACTATCACAAGAACTTTGGCTAAATTTGTGATATATTTCATTCATTTGAGTTAACTTTTTTGGACTCATTTTTTGGTATCCTTGTGGCACATTACTGTGTTGTTACTGTATTTCTAAGCTAAGAGCTAACATCAAGTCACCTTTAACAGTACTATTGTTAGGTTTTAGTTATTGATGTTTTGCCCATCGACATTTTTTAAAGTAACTGTTAGTTAACACTTAGTTATTTTTGGCTGGAACTTTGGCAACTAACTTTGCTAACTGTAGGCTTTAAACCTTGAAACCTGAAATAACCTGTTGTAATTCTAGCACTTTGTGACCTATAACATTTTATAACAGTTTATGTCACATGACAGACTGACACTTTGAAATAACACAAAAACAGGCAATAGAACAGGTATGGAAGCAGTGTGTGTGCAATGGAAGCCTCACTTGATGCTTTTGTGTTTTGCAAAAACTACTTTCATTCAATACTGTTCTTAGTTTAACTTTTCTTTTACCTTGGTTATTTCTGATCCCACTTTTCTGTGATGTTTACATTCTAGAATAAATCAGCCATTTGCAGCTTTAGTCCACACACCAAGTGTTTTTATTTCAAATATTGGCACCAATAGTATTCCAGCAGCAATTGCAGCCCTTCAGCTATCACTGGTTCAGATCCAGGTGGCAAACATCCGGGTTTGCGGCACCAACTTTGACCGTTAACACTGCTAACAGGGTGTCAAGAGTGTTTTTATGCTCCGTCAGCTTTTAGAACGTTGCACTCACACACACACATGACATGAAATCAGCACTCAGATCACGTTTGACCGTTTATACCTTTCAGTTTATTTGCAGTTCTAGACACATGCAGACACACGCACACACAAACTCTCTCTCTCTCTCTCTCATACACACACACACACACACACACACACAAACTCGCCCTGCCAAGTTGCATTTGGCGTGGTCGTGTTTGAAATGTTCTAGACTGACTGGCGATGTGTGTGCGTGTGTGTGTGCAAAGTATGTATGGCTGGGTGTACAGTAGCAGTCTGAGCCATAAGAGTCTAAATATGACGTTTGGGGGGAAGAAAAAAACGGCATTTCCCATCATCAACAACTAAGAGGTGGCATTTCCGTCTTTAAAAATGTCAACGTTAAATAAACATCACTGACCACAAACTCAGAGTACGAGAAGTTATACACACTGTTTGGTTGTGCAATAATTACCATGCAGTATATGCTACACCAATGGAAACTGGTCTTCCAATCTTCATAACTATATATCCCTGGGCGGGAAACTAAGCTTCTCGTAGTTATTTAGTTTTAGGTAATATCATTTTCTGGAATATGATCACAAGTAAAGTAATAATATTCTACCATCAATAAAAACAAGAGTGTCATCATCTTCTACCAATCATATGTCTCCATCTGCATAGTTACCACCAGGCTGCACTACAGTAACCACAAAGAAAGAAAAAGAATGCTGATGATGCTCAGACGGTTGAATCAGGTAGAATTTTCCAACCAAACTAATTTCCAGACTGGTATGCGACAATTTATGATAATCCCATAGAACTAGACATCACCGCTGCTTTAAAAAGAAATTACAGTCTACATGTAATCCCTGCATCAACTACCTGACACCGTCAGCAGAAACTCTCCGAGCCTCTAAAAGTAGGTTAATTACACAGGAGATGACGCCCAAGATTCAGTCAAGTGGTCTTTAAACTTGTTGTGCAATTCAAATTTCTGACGATGTGACTCTTATCTGAGGATCATGGCGTCACCCCCAGACTTTCTGAGTCCTGATCTACTCTCAGCTGTCAGCCTCTTAGGGANAGGGAGGGGGGGGGGGTTTGAGGTTTAACACAAGTGATTCTCGTCAGCCCTGATTCATCACTTGGAGTGGGCACAGGTGTTATCATGAGTCTACAGGCACTTACAGGGATTTGAAAATGCAATTTTGAAAGTTTTAAGAAGGCAGAGACTTTTGGAAAGGGTTTTGGTAAAAGTAATTACAATCAAATCATGTATGTAGAGTTGGTCAGAAAAAAAAAATGTTTCAAAAACCAGGTGAAAAACGACATGGCCCAAAACTAGGCTTGTAGTAGATCACTCAGGCTGGCCGTCTTTATCTGATTGCTGATTTTCCACTAAATGGGATCAAACAAAAGTTTCACAATATGGTATATTAAAACAACCTGAAACTAGTGACTGAGAAAATATAGATTGTATTTACAACGCTGAAGGATTAAAGCCAAATCAAACCAATTTTCCCCTGTACTTACTACCCAGCACAGTACTACTAAAAGGCGGTAAAAAAAAAAAAACCCTAAAAAACCCAAGAAAACAAAACAGGGTTCATTTCTCAGTTGTATGACTATGTTTAAATGTCTTGTTATATTCAGACGTACTTTACTTTAATGTCATCTGAGCACATTGCTGTAAAAACACAGCAGGCACTAGAGCCTGAGAGACAAAGATGAAGACAAAGACACTTTTCATAACCTCCACGTCCCCTGCTTACTCTCTATTTAACCTCATTGTATACTGTTGTAGTGTTAACTGACAGGAAGCGACACACCTCTGATAATACAAAGTTCAATCTCTCGGGCCGCAGCTGCAGCTGCAGCGTTCTCCTCATCACTCAGTCAGAACGAGCCCCACAGTTTTCAGCTCATAGGTTCTGCTAAGCGATTTCGACTTTTGGGTACTTTCCTCAGCACTGAAAAAAAAAAAACTTACGCAGATGATACGGGTGACTGCAGCCCATCGCTCCAGCCCAGCACTTTCTGTAGTGCTGAAGTCAAAACAGAGACAGACACAGAAACTAAGAGACATGTCAGTGCCGATTCACTGATTCACTCTTTAATGATCATGGTAAAATAGGCTTGAGTTGTGTTTTTGTTTTGTATTTGAAGAGTTTATTAATGTCCAAATTCTAAAATTACTACAGATAAAAATGACCTTAGTGTCTGAAAACGGTGATGGTCTTGTCAGTAGGTAAAGAAGCCCAGATTTAGATACTGGCAATGGACTTCCATCCAATTGCAAATGGCTCCCAACCTTTGCCAGTGTTGATCAAATCAACTAAAAGTCAACTGGACACCTGCAAAACCCAGGTCCAATTTAGCCAAGAGAGAAGTTTACGTTGGGTCACAGAGAAAAGGTTTCTGCAAAGAAGTAAAAACTTTGAGCCCAAGTCATTGAAGACAACATCAAGTTCAAGTCACTAAAATAAAAAACTGAACAAAAAGTCAAATTCCCAGGGAACAAGTCCAAGGCACTGAAGGAAAACTAGATATGTTTTAACTTTGACTCAGGAATTTTGGACTCCTCTTGGGACATGTCTGTTTGATTTGTTGTCCTTCGTGAACAATCCAAGTCACTGAAAACCCAATACAGCATTGCTGCTATAAAATTTCCTCCAATGTACACCACATTTAAACTTATTTTTGTCTGCCACTTAGTATATCAGGAGAACCGAACTTGAATTTTCTACAAAAATAACCTTGAAAACAATAGGCAGGTCGAGACAGAGCTCACAGAGACGTTGTTAGTTAGTGGCAGGATGGTAGGCGGTGTTGTTTGTGGCTGAGTATGGGAGGAATGGCAGGAATGAAATGGAATGTGAATACTGATTCTAGACTTGTCTCTAAAGGAAATCCAGCATTCCCAGCTGCTCAGATCTGAAAAACATGACCTGAAAGACTGAGGACGTTGGTTCCCGCAGCTCTTGGTGTCAGAAAGAAACAGTAAAAAGGTGAAAAAGGATGAAGCAATGTAGAGGTAGATTTTTTCTTAAAAAAAAAGGTGACTTCCATACAATTCTTTTACTATTGTTGTATGTAAAGTACATGCTCCTGGTGTTTTTGTTGACGTTCTAATCCAAAGTCCAAACAGTCCAAACAGCCATAAAGTGAACTGCAGGCAGACGAGTGTTGTGTGTGTGATCTCTCTGAGCTGCTGTTTGCCTTCCCAGTCAGCTGATGTTGTTTACTTCAGTGCCACTCACACTCCCTCACTTATTTTTTCAGAGAACTGCGTGGGAATATAATCGACTGGAGAACTACACTCTCTCACTCACTCACACACACACACACACACACGCACGCACGCACGCACGCACACACGCAGGCACATACAGTACACATGCATACACCATGTGTAGCCAAAACAAAAGGAAAACTGGAAAAACCAAACTCAGAGTGACTCTAACTGAGCAGAGCAGGTTGCAGCTTGACTTGACCGATTCAGACGACAGTTAAATTGCCAGCTGCTCCGTGCTCGGTTTGAAAAGTCTTTCATTGAGGACACAGCATCAAAGTATACCTCGCTATTCAAAGTAGGGACAAAGGGACCAAGGTCTAAGCTTGCTCTGCTGAATCCACAGAATGAAGTTAAAGCCCTCACTCTTCCTGTTTATCTCCACAGCCTCCAAATAAACACACAATCCCTCCTTCCTTAACAGCCTGGAAATCCAGGCTCACTGGTCAACGCCCTACACCACACCATTTAGGGACTTTTCAATCACTTTTATGTGTATCTAAACCTTCACTTCAGTTATTGTCTGGTCCTTTTAGACACTTATTATAAGAATTTAAAAAAATATATGAAAAGGATTAAGAAACTCTTTGACCACAACGTTTTAGCTGTTGTAGAAAACTGTGGCTATCCTTGCGGTGCTAACTCCTCTGTGCTAACTGTTTTATTTGTTACATAGGTATTTCTGGCATTTAAACATCTTTCAATTGTTGTAAACAGAATATGAAATGATTGATTATGACTGTGATACCAGAACTCCTCCCTGTAGGAATCCAAATCTGTCTCCAAATTTTCATTCCTCTCATTCCTCCCACTCTTAGCTCCAACCCACACCTCCTCTTAGTTATTTGAGGTTGTTTTCTTTCACCAACTAACTTTCTGTACAAAAACATACAGTGAGAAAATGAAAAGACAGGTTTTTTTAAAGCACTGAGCTCTGTCTGTCAGCGGACATAGGTTTACAGGTATATGACTTTGACCAGGACGTGCCTGCTCCTGTTTGGAGACGTCTCAATCACATCACTGAATAAATTTACTTTAGAAGGAAGTAAATAAAGTCAGCTGGGAGTCATGTTAGGAAGAGAAGGCAGACATCTGGGTGTAATGTGAATGACATCAACACTCCGAAGGACTTTTTCTTTCCTTGTGAGGAGTTAGGAAATAACTGAAAAAACATGTCTGACCACAGCATGACTGTGGTCAGACTTGGTCAGGTTTTGTGCTGTGGTTTGAAAGCACATGATTAACATGGCAACATAGGAAAGGTCAGAAATCAGGAAGCAAGATTGTGGCTTGCTTCCTGATTGCTGCCTAGGACGTTAAAAATCATAAATGAAACAAAGGAACTGGGAAGAGAAATGAAACTGCATTTTCAGCCTGATAAAACTTCTGCTTCGGTGACCACCACATAATAGAAGACAAGACAGTGACCATAGCTGAGGATGTGAAAAGACTGAGACTGATTTGATTTAACCGTCCTGTGCTGATTCATTCATGACTCCAGACTGGGTTACCAACTTCATTATTCAACCACATTCTCCCCAGCTGACTAATGTGATTTACTGAAGGCCGGCTTATCCTGTAACCTCGGGTCAGGAATGAGCAGTTTCAGTCACCATTACTGGGACACAGTTCACATTGACACCACTGGATGCAGTCCAGTAAGCATGGCATGTCTGAATTACTAATTTAACTTGACAGAAAAACGGTTTTCTATTTGACAACTGGCTTTGAGAATTGAGAAATTTATTTATCAGAAACTTCAAAAACTTTGCCAAACCATAGCAGAAACTGTTACAAGTTTGCCTAGGAATAGCCAAAATGGCCATATTTAAATTGGCAGAAAATCCACAATACCAATGAAAGTTAAATTACAGGAACAAAAATGTAGTTTTGGAACAGAAACTAATCATTTAATAATGCCATGTTTACGTCACTGCCTAGCCAGAAAACTGCTCCAGAAGCCTATACAATCTAACGAAGAATTTTACTTCAGTCAACTGAAATGAGGACAACGCAACTGACTCTATGACGTGGCAAAACAAACACATTAGAAAAAACGTTTCAGGGTTGTGGTCTGGTATGTTGTGTTTGCATGCTCACTAAGTGTGAAGTTTTGAAAAGAAACTTAAATGTCTGTCTAAAGGGTCTTCTTGGTTACACTGTCTGAATTCTTTCATCAGCTGTGCTCAACATGAAACTTCGAGCAGTTTCTCTTTAAAGAGCATGGGTGAGTGAAAGAATGTGGGAGAGGCGTGTGCTTCCCCCATCCACAGACTCAGACTAGCTCTGAGTCCTTTAATTAAGTTACACACATGTGTGTAGGAGGTGAAGGTTGGTCAAATTCAAACTAAAAACACTGCAGGTAAAAGAATTTGCAGCTAAAGCAGGGAAATTTTTTACGTGGGGGGCTGATGTAGCAAGAAAGCTGCCAGGAAAACATTCCTGTGTTCGTCTGTGCGTGCGCGCATAACCAGAGGCCACGGTGAGGAAATGAGTATGACTTCAGAGAGCGTGTTGCCACAAGGAGACATTCAGACAGATAAACAAAACATCTCCGATGAGTTACATTTATAAATGAATGCAGCCCTGAGGAACACACCTCCAGCTTGAGACATGGTTTTGGATCAACCTCTGATATGTGAGGAGTGTTAACCACTCCACCACAAGGGTGGGATTTAAAAAACAATTGGAAACATCATAGGGCAGACGGGAATCCTGCAAACAAAGACCACTGGTTTAGAATCCTCTGTGAATGGGAATTGGGATTTTCCATATATTTTGAAACCAGATAGATCGATGTTTAAAAAGATACAGAACATACAGACAGCGAGTGTAGTTTTATGAGAGAGGTACGGTCAGTTTATACATAAGGTGGATTGCATTAGTCTAGGAACAGCAAGTACGTGCTCAAGTCAAATACTTAAGTGGGAGTGAAGAAAAACAGAAACCAAGATGTCTTGGCAATGTCTTTACACCTTTTACACAACACCGACCTTTTACACAACACCGAGCCAGGATGTGTCAGGAAGTAGTTCTTTACATAAATGCCCACAGAGAACACACTTAAACTCTAAGGTGCTTCAAGACCAAACAAATTCAGACACATAGACCAGCTACTTCTTCTTCACACAGCACTGATCCTCTGCAGGGTTGGTCGAAGTGCTCACTGCATTCCTCTGCACTCTTGTTTTTCTGGCCCCTCGGCTGGGCATCATTCAAGCCTGAAAACCTTTCGGATCATTGACCGTAGCTCTGCAGTTCATGTGTACATTAGCAACACTACCTGTGGCCTCCTGAGCGTGTCCAGGACACAGGGACCTGAGGTACGGTCAAACACCTGACCGACTACCAGGATGCACTGGAGTTTATGTGGATGGTCTTTTTTCCCAAAGGCAGAAAATGTGGGTGACTCATTTTAACCCAGATCTGAAGAACGCATATAAAGAGCGGCCGTAAGTTGAAACTCACATACTGTAGATAAGTACCTACTGTATGTCACTCACCTACGCTAAAACAGTGGTAACATCATAATCTAGGACATAAAAACATCAGAAGAGCCTGACTTACACTTGGGAGCCAAAATGAAGGGCAACAAGTTCCCAAAAAACAAACAAACGGCAAAAAAAGGCAAATGTAGCTCAATCCAATGCATAGCGTACAACCGGCGAATGTAAACAAAGCCGTCTTCCACACAGCGTGATGACATATTCGTCTGCTCAAAGTAGTTGGCGAGTTTCAACACCATATGTTGTAATGATAGAACAAGACTTTAACAAATGTATGGGAGTAGAAACGTAGGTCAAGGACGTCGTAAACAGAGGACCCAGTGTATATTTAAGGTGTCTCATCTGAAGCTAGCATCCTCTTTCCTTCATCTGAATGTATCTTTTAACACATTTTGCTAATCACCCTTAGCTGCTCCACTCACTTGTTAATTTCCATTTCAATACTTTATCATCCTAACCTGCTGTTGCTTATACCGATATCTCTGTATATTTTTGTTTTACTTTTATCAATCACCCTGTTTGTTACGCTAACTACAGATGACATGATAACACTAATGGAAAATATTAGCCGTTGTAACGCCTGTGTTTTTAATGCAGGCCAATCACTTTGTACGCACACTGTCTCGTAACATACAAGTAATGTGAACTTGTTTAATTTTGGTGGGAAACTTGATATTTTATCAGTTAAATAAATACATATTCTGCCTGTACAACTGAAGTCAGCTAAGCTGTTGTGTACTCACTATATTTTAACAGAGAATATCAAACCAGAAGAACAGGTAGGGGATTACAATGGCTTGTTTTAGCGTAAAAATAAACACCGTACTAGTCTTCTACGCCTGAGGGAATAAGCCGTGACCAGTGCATTTCCTTGACCTTGTGTGGATGTCCTTGGTCATGTGACTTGGCTGGCCTGGGAACAGACATCTATCTCTATTATTAATCAGTGCGTGTTTCACCATGTCGTCACGTGGGACCGTGTTCTTCAGAACACTACTTCCAATCTGTCTCACGCCTATCAGGTTGCAGGCACAAAATGTGATACAGTTTCAGTTAACACCTATTTCCTCAAGTCATACTGTTATACTAGTAGATATTTTTCCAACTGGAAGCTTGGGGGAGTTGGTGTTGTTGACACTGCTCCTAAAGCTCTTCAGTTTTGTTTTTCTGTGCTACATCCAAACATATCGCTCAAATCTTGCTCAGAAAACGGATCAAAAGAGAATATTCCTTCATCTTCAGACATGCGGTGTGATTAGACAAAGACGATCTTTTGTGCTGTACGAAGCATCAGTACTGAGGCAAAAATGTGAAGATAAGCAAAAGGAACAAACAGCGTTGACTTTGGTTGTGTCTAGCACTGCAGTCTTATGTCTTCCAAATATGTGGGACGCAAGAAAGGCATATGTTTGGACAACAGACTGAATGAGAGACTTAACAATAAGAAAAACGAATCTTTCACAGCTCTAACCTGCAGCATGTAGGCACAACTGGAAATGATATGTCAAAAGTATCAGTTTCTTTTCCTCTGAGCAATTAAGGTACTGTTCACTGTTCACTGCTGCAGTGAGGTGCAGTGTAGCTCATCCCCAGCTAAAACATAATGCACATACTAATTATTTGCACAGAGTGATTACTTCCTTGATTAAACACTATTTCAGGTTTTTTAACAGCATTATGCTAAATTGATCTAACGTTGTCATCAAGCTGCGAATGGCAGATACTTAGCAAATAAAACACCACTACAAAAAAGACTGACACTTTCAACAGTGGTAACAATACAATTTGACTTATCACAAACACTTCCTCTTCATTCAAATCAGTTTACAGTAAAGACAAAGTTATTAAAGGAACAGTTTAAAATCATCTCCAGGTTCCTATTGCTAATAGGTAATATGAATCAAACCCTGTAAAATGAACATACATCTACAGGCTAGTGGATCTTACTGGAACATTCAAGCTCCAGCAAAGAACAATCTGTTCTCACAGAGTTCAGATATCATATCACAGACAGAGGAATCTGCCCTCCAGTCAACAGCCACCGAGGTCAAACTGCACCAACACATAATGCATAATGTATTTAATCAGAAAATGAAGCCAGTGAGTGATAAGTTGGATCTTTTTTTTTTTAGCTCATATCTGTCAGTAAAAAGCCAAGGATCATCAACTCGAATGATGAAATTCTCAAAGGAAATTCAAAAGTAAAAATCAGTGGAATAAGGCAATTCCTGGGTAAGCTTAACATTATATAAAAAAGACCACACAAAATACCAGAAAATTAAGTTTACCCCTGAATATGTAATAATTAGTCAAAAAAATCTAGGATCTGAATTAGCCAAAAATATTAAAAATACAAGCTAACACACACAAAAAAAATGGCTGAAAGGCCATATAATCACACACATCGTGTCTAGTTACTTCATTTCCGGCTGTGATGTATTAACACTTGTCTCCTATAAGAGTAGCTGAGCCAAATAAAGACCACACATCAGTGTCATATTGTCTTCCTGAGTCCTTGAAGTGAGTGAGCGGTCTTTTTTTTGGTGTGCATATTTGGAGTGGGTTCTGCTAGGCTGTGGGGGTGTCATTCTGTTTGTGTGCAGTCATAGGAAGGAGCCTGCCAGCAGCCTATTTCTGAGACAGAATTTCATTTGCTGGTGAAGTGTTGGAGCTGATTTTCGAACCAAGGTTAACGTTAAACAGCATCAGATTTGTTGATTGGTAGGGATCGATCAGTTAACTTAAGATGCCCCCAATGCCAAGCGCACAGGGTAAGAGGGCTTAGTGTTCTTGTCTTACTGTCAGCGTCTGAATACAAACAACAAAGACAGCTTGATGTTGCTCTAGATGGCACACGGACTCAACGCCCACATCAACAAAAATATAAATAAATTCAAGTCTTGTGAGCTGGACCAAACTGCCACGCAGACCAGGCATGACGCCGAGGCTAGGCTTACCTCACGGGTTGGCTGTGGTCTGAGGCTTCATTATATAAGGATTGATTGGGTTTCCTGTTGGCAACACATGACTGGCATAAGAAAAATAAAAAATGTCATCTCTTTGCACTGATCACACCTAAACATCCTCAAACCAAATTTTTAAGCATGACATTGCACCCATTAATATTTACGAAAAACTCAACTCAGTAAACTCAACTAATGCACTTTCCGTTAATGATGAGCAGGAGAGCTGGTGGGCGTTCTCATCTGTACTGAAGAGGTTGGACACATAATGTACAGGAGACTTTTAAAATAATTCACACCCTGGCTACCAACCCATTTAACTTCTATGGAGAACAATCAAAGTGCTTATATGTCAACAGTGGAAACAATTGAAACACTACCACTTCCTTGACACATCCCTGCTAATGATGCGAACAAACAAAGAATTCAAACAGCAACAACTGCACAATGACACTCCGATCAAATGATACACTGTCACACACTAACTTCACACACCCACATTACCTGCCAGGTACTACTGGTTGGTAGCACCCAGCCGCTCAGGTGTGTTTTTTCAGGGACTTTTTCTGGTTATGCTTAATAAAGACTACAGAGGTATTTTATTTTCATTCAATGAGGATTTCATGAGAAAAACTCAACTAAAGTAACAAATATGTCACTATTAACTCAGACAACAGAGAGAATTCTAAAAACAATGTCTGTAATCCAATTAGTTCACTGATACCAAGCGACCATAATAACCATAAACAAAACACTATCATCCCGACGCCCACGCACCCACCCATCAGGGAATTTGATCCCACTCAGCCAATCAATCTGATTACAGCCCTGATAAGAAAAATTCCTGTGTAAAGGTGGTGCCAACGGTTTCCTACAAGTGCGAGAAGGAATTAGAAGGAAGTCACAGCCTTATCTTGTTTGTATACTTTTACACAGTTTACGCGATTGATACCTATTTGTTCATTTCAGCAGCTCTAATACCTTAAAACTATGAGAGTATTACAGTGTAGTACATTTGGTTCAAATCTGATTGTAACTGTGGTGAAGTACGTGTGCTGTGTACATTGGCTCACTGGTGTGTTAAACAGGTTTTGGAGCCTGTTGAATTCTGATGCTAACACGAAAGCAACATTCATGTTGCCGTTTCTTTTTCATGTCATTTTAAAATATGAGAGTTATTTATATAAATACATTTCATCAATACATTTTTGTGGGCCAACATTTAAATATCTAGATTTCAATTTGCTTAAAGATGGTTGCGTTACATTTTTGCTAACCTTAGCTATCCGCATGTTAACCTAGCAAGGTCTGAAATTTCTTTTGGGAAATTATTATTTAAAGGCTGACTTTGAACTATTTAAAGCTATCTATTTTTGGCAATGTATTTTTTTTCTCTTTTTTTCTCTTACTTTGTTTTTATGTTTATTTAAAATGAAAGCAAGTCAACCATGCTACTTGTTTGGGGGGAGGGCAGGGAAATACAGATGCTTTATGTCCGTTTTTGTATATATACTTTTAAGGCCATTTTAGGCCAAACAAAAGACCCCTGGAAAAAGCCCTGTGGTCCTGGGAAAGAAAACAATACGTAACACTAGCTCAACATCATCGAATTTCTAGTCTTACTCCAAAAAGACAATTTTAAAATATAAAGTTGTTAGCAACTTATACAAAAATATTAATGAATAAATTTCAAACTTGGTCAATACATTTTTCTACAATCCTTTTCCTATATATATAAAATACAGTCGTAGCAGGAAAAACAAATGTTTGTGGTAACTCTTAAATCCTATAAATACTTTGAAAGGATTATAATTTTTCTCACAGCATCTCATTCATCAAGCCCGTCTTTGTCCTGGTTAAATGACAGACCTGCGTCACAACAGTTCACCAAATAACCATCTGACTGGCCGGGCAGGCTGCCTCTTTGTGTGCTTGGTTATCATCTGAGCTCTTATTTGGTCTCTGCTGTAATCCTTCTAGTCGTCACCCATGGGGGGAGGATGAAATACTTCAGCCCTGACCCAAATATACAGAAAGACCTTGAGAGACATAACAAAAGCAGAGCTTATAGAAAGCCTCTAATTAGCCTTTTTTTGTCTTTCATATAGCAACTATAGTAAGCCCCGAGACTGTCATGCAACAGAGGAACCACTGAAACCAGTCATTTGATCTGCCTGGTAAAACATTTATCAGAGTGGATAACAACACCTAGGATTCTAACACTGGCTCATTCTCAACGTCTACAGATTACTCTAGAACAGCCAGGAACAGTCTGTGCCAAGTATCAGGTGAAAGGTGAAAATCTGGATGAGGACGCTTATCCCTATTTATTTGGTCTGCCAACAGGGTGTCTGGTGCCCACAACCAAGAAGATGACTCAAACGGTGAAGTGTTAATAAACGACTAACTAGGAATTTCCTCAAGAAGAGACGAACACTTCAGACGTCCACTGAGGAATGAGGTTTTTGTTCAAAATCAGATATTACTGTTGAGAAAGGTGTGGGTGGATTGGGTCGCTGAACACACCAAACTGCTTGCGCAAGATTAAATTTAGTTTCACTTTGACTTTGGACTTCATTGGAAGTGTCCTGTCATTCCATTGTAACTGCCATGGCTTTAAATAATATGTTGACATTTCCAAAGCCTAAATTGGTTTTATCTGTGGGCAAAATGTTGTTGCAAAATTTGACTCTTGACTGTTGGAGAGCTTGACACTAAGATTATTGCTTTAAAAAGGCAAAATGACAAAATATTTATAGAAAGAAACCAAAAAGAGCAACATTGTGAATTCACTGAGTGAGCACCTGACACCTGAGGGAGTCTCTTTGAACTAACAGATGGCTTTGCCGTCTGTGGGAGCTAAATTAATAGGGGTCTTTGCGGTTTCCAGTACAGTGCTGATTGAAATGATGAGCTCAACGCCACCTAAAAGGAACTTTTGGAACTTCTCCAATCATCTAATATAAACTCTGGCTTGTAGGCGAAACAACCTACCAGCCAGAGTTTTGGTGATTGTTGTCTCTAAGATAATCGTCTGTGATCTGCAAGGTGACTGCATGAGAAAGAGCAAAGGAAGGGCACCTGCATTTGGACAGGGCAATAACAACACATTCCTGACATATTGTGTGCTTATCTGTTTAAATACATTTGAATTGAATTTTATGAACAATGGTATAAATATACCTAGTATAGTAAATATAGTTTTAATTTGAAGAGCTATTTTTTTCATCCAACAACATCCATTTGTTTGCTTCGCTCAGTGAAATAAAAGGCTATATATTTGATTATGGATGCCTACCATTTAATTTGGTTTTAAACATTTTCAACACTTTGATGATACAGATACTCTCCTGGTGGCCCATTATTCTTAGCGCCCCCTGCAGTGGAACAAACAACCTAAAACAGTAGGGTCCTGTGTTGCCTTCTTCACATGATGGGCTCACAGCTGCTTTACTGGAACTAAATGACTAAAAACATCAATATGTTTATCTCCCCTGAGGACAGGTCGATGTAAATATGCTCAAAAACAAGACCAATCTCAAGTGCAAATTCTTTTCGAGAGTGATTAAATCAGGTACACGATAAAAAAAAACAGTTTCTCAATACAGTTGATACAACGCTCCCTTTCATTCCTGTGTATCCTGTAGCAGAGGGATATGTTAGGAGTTTTGTTTTTGCCAGACTTGGGTGTTGTGTTGTGTTGTCACATGTTTTTCCTTCCAGGTTAAACCAATGTGCCTCTGCTTGGAATCACAACTGTCAAAGACATTTAACTGGAATAGTAGGCCCACAACAATAACAATCTGCATGTCAACGGCACAAGAAAGACTTTCCCAAGAAAGACAAGGCCGGAAAAACTTTGACTTTTCACTTACTTTTACTTACACAGTATTTTTGAAATAATCAAAAGATTATTCCAAAATGCTGTTCAGCTACTTTTGGTTGACTTCTATGGTTGTGTCAAGGTCTTAAATACGATGTATGGGAGCATCAAGTCATTTAAAGACTTAAATCACAATGGTTGAAAACATTTTTCCACCTCCAGAAACGGGTACAATGAGAAAGAGGATTACCCAAATTGTTTGATAAACTGTTTTGAAGCTTAATGACTCACTCATTGCTATGGCAGACAACTGACATCATGCATCCAAACACAAGCGTTTCTTTGGTGCAGCCATCAGACAACAGTTCCTTAAGTCTAAAATTTCAGCAAAGCTTGAGAACGGCTGACATCAGGGTTTAAATCTCCAGTTGATATGAGCAACTCCCTCCACAATATTATCAGGCCCTGTGAGTTGTCCAAAGAAAAGACATTTTCAGGATATGACTCATCGTGTTTGTTCCCCCAGTGAACAGTGATTTTCGCCAGGCTAACGAAAATTTTGCGGTTGCTCCCATGTTGTAAATTTAAATCGCAGACACAAAGGCTTGCGCAGCCATGTCTCCCCTTTCAAGAGCTTGTGTTGACATTTTTTGCTGACCAAGTGCTGATCCCAGCTTCTGATGAGGGACGGAGAGAAGGGGGTCTATAATTATTCCCATACACGATGAGCTCATCCCTTAACCTTGTGCTGATTTTTTTTCTCCAGCTGAGACAGAGATTTTAACAAAATCATCCATTCAGCTGGAAATGCAAAACAAACATGTGATCCAAAGAAGCATGACCAATCTGATGCTGTGGCAAAAACGATCGCTGGTCATATGATTGATGAACTTTTCCAGAGCAGCTGATTTTTTTCCCCTATTTTGGAAAAACAACAGTGCCTCTTAATGAACTTGGTTCAATGGCCTCTGAAAACAAGACGGACAACAAAACCCCCATCAATGCTCGGTAAACATGAGGTTTCCAAACAAAAGGGAAGACGTTTAAAGTAAGATAGAGTAGGAGAGGCTGTAAGTGACACTGACCAACTGACCCAGACAGGTCAACGTCACACATGGGTCGGACAAGCCCAGACCTGCTTTGGATATATTCACGAGTCAATAAAAGGAGACGACGTGACACTAAAATATAGAACTTCTGCAAACATGGTGCAGGGGGCCACCATGGAAAAAACTCATCCTCTGACAGAGTTCAGATAAGTTCAGTGGTTGTACAGGAACCTTATGACCTACTTATGGTATGTTTGTCACTGCGATGTGGCGTCTGAGTTGCGGGGGGCTAGAGTCACTAACAAAAAAGCCCAAGTTAAACTCATTAACCTGCACTTTATGTCTGATGGTTTCCCAGAGAACGAAGTCAAGGAAGATGTTGATGTCAAGGATTTTGTTTTTGTTGCAAAAATTGTTTTGTATATTTTTTGAAAATGTCTTTTCAAGACATGGAGGCTTACTGAGAAAAGATTACTTTCTTTTTTCTGCAAAACCTTGGTTATCTGCCTTACACCAGCTCTACTTTTGGTTTCAGTTTGACGGAATGTTTTCACTTTTGAAGACATCAACTTTTTTATCTGCCGTTGTACTAATGACAGTGGCAGTGCGTTTTTGGTTAAGATGTGCTGATAATCAGTCAGTCAGTCAGTGTTTACACCAAGCACATGGTATATTTCAGCATTAAATTGGTACATTCTTTGTTTTTCCTTTGCATTAACTTCATATGTACTAGTATGAGATGTATAACGAATCGATTTAAGAAAATAGTTGTTGTTGTGTTGCTACGTAAGGTAGATGAATAAATGCACCTGTGTGTGCTTTGAATACAATGCCTAACTGAATTAATGGTTCTTGTGCAACTTCCTTCCCGTGGATAATAACTTGGAGATTTGGTGGGAACATAACGCCCCATACAGCAAGAACACTGATCTGTTGATACTAAACAGATTTGTTTCTGTGTGATGAAACAAAGCATGGAAAGAATCCAGGAACCTGGTCCAAAGCACAGAATGTGCTGCAAGAACTTCCCTTCGTGTAAAGTCGTGTAACTGCCATCAAGGCAAAGCCACAGTGACTTGGCAGGAGATGAGACAGCAGAATGATTAAGAGAATAGACACTTATGTCACCCAAACACCAAAAGGGGAAGGAAATGAATATGTGTACGGAATGTGTAAAATGCGAGAGGAGTCCGAGGGACTAGCAGGCTTCATAGTTAGGCCGCTGAAAGTTAAAAATGCTCCTAGGGCCGTCTGAACTGCCAAATACTTCTCTTAAACTGTTGCCACGGACGGATTCTCTAGAACAAAATAGTCCCAGCGAACATAATTACTGTTCCATTTCTAAATATTGACTTTTTAAATAAGAGTGTGTTCACATCTGCTATATGTGAGCCTTTTAATGTAGGTTATATACCTATAGGTCGCATTCGGGTTTACGACTCATACTCAGGTACGACATATATTAAAATATATAACTTCATGTTTGTTATTTCCACACTGACAGCCACTAGAGGGCACTCTAGGCTGGTGTACCAGTACCTGCTACTCTTGCACCACTGAAAATTTACATTTGTCACTGACAGCCTAGAGGGCATTGGTGCGACTTATGTTTTTTTCTTCATTCTGCATTTTTTGGCCAGAGCGACAGAGGGAAATACGGTAATTGTTGTCATACTTTGAGCAAAATGAACAAATCCTAGTTCCAAGTGAACATGGTCTCAGAGGGATTCAGTTAAGTAAGACTTACGGTTGGTATTGACACAAACTACCTGCACTGACCCCGACAGCCAGAAGGTGGGTGTAAAGGGTTAAATTAGGTGTGATATTAAATGATATTAAAATGATGCCTCAAAGTAGGGTTGCTCTAAAACCATACCACCCAAAATAAAAACATCAACAACTGTAGGGCTCAGAGAGCAATTACACCGGATGGGCTGACCGAGATGACTGAGAACACTGATAAGTCGTCTATTAATACTGCACTGCGGTCAACTGTCAGAGAATAAAGTTTCAAAGAATCCACCGAGAATGGAACATGATGCATCGTCCAGTTGATTCACACTGATCCCTGACACGAGAACCACCAACCACAGAGAGCTCCGTTGGTTGGTAGGTAATACTGTTTAAATCCACAAAGAGCTTAATCTTTAGCGGGCAGATGAATGAGAGCTCTATGGTTATTTTTAAATGTCTATTCGCGTCATTTTTATCTACTCTCTCTTGCAACAATGCACAACATTGTTTAACACTGACCCGCTCAGAGAACCAGTCTTTGTTCGCACACACATTACATCACAACTGTATTTTAAGAAACATTAGGGGAGGCTTCGAAGACTGACTTACATCAATGGCTTCAATTATTTTTATGCTCAATATCACATAATTATATAAACAATCAGAAGTGAGCGTAAAACACCTGTTAAACGCCTGATTCTGTCACAGGAAAACATGAAGTCGACGATGTCTGTGTCACTGAACCATGACTTTGAGCTTCTTAAAACAAACACCTGGGGCGCAGCACATGTTGGCCTTATAAACTTCAAAGCATGGTCAACTGGCTGAAGGTGATTAAAAAAAAAAACATCCGGTTTCAAGGATCTTTAGTGCTAAATGCAATAACAATAATAATACATTCGTTTTTATTTGTATTTCTCTAGTTTCAGTACGATAGTTTTGTGTACTTCGTCTAAAGTAGAAAGACTTGTTTATTACACAGTTCTACATAGGTCTATGTCTTTTCACGGCAGCCATGTTGGATGACCGTGATTACACAGTAGCTTACATGAGAAATTTCCAAGAGAAAATGAGAAGGTGGGAGACATTTTTAAAGATTGATTGAAATTGAACAAAGGGACAGAAATTTGCTAAATGGAGTAGAATAATAAACACTGACAATGAGGAGAGTTCACATCCAAGCTGCACTCCAAATTTAAAAGAAAAAGTAAAAAATACATATGGATGAAAATGAAAATGGAATTTTTAGCATTTAGCGCTCATATGGTGAATCACTTATCGACTTATTTAGAGGTATTCTTTGTCAGTGTTCACCCACAGTATAAAAACAATCAGACTGAGACTTCAACCTTCATCATTGTTATGTTGACATAATGATGATCCTTTCAGCTTTCTTGGCCCAAAGCACTGGCTCATAGCAGGTTATATTAAAATGCCAGGTCAACTATCCTATTTTTTTACATTTCAGAAAAATATTTTGATCAAACAGGTTTTTGTAATGTTTTATTCCCTATCAAAATATCTTAAGGAATTTTAGGATATTGTATTATCTGCTTGTGTATTTTAAGAAAAACCAAATAGGTTTCTCTTCAACAAGGGTCTGGGATTGAAAATAAGTAAGCAAAGGATTTAGTGAGTGCAGATGTGCAGGAAATTAAAGAGGAGCACCCAGACATGAGGACAAAATTAAAGGGAGTTTTGTATAGAGTGCAGACTACAAGATCTGAAGTGCACAGACCACAGTAGTTGGAACACTCAGAACCAAACGTGGAAACAATACTCTAAAAACAGGATCTAGATGCTTATTTACAGCCAAGCCTGGAGACATGTTTTGATGTGCGTTGGCCAAAAGCACTTCTGCTGATAGAGAGAGAAGAGATGAGGCCTAGGGGTAATCTGCAGGAATATACAAACAACCTGTATATAGTCACAGGGTAAGGCACTGACAGGAGTCCAAGATGTAATTAAAGAACTTTTACTCTTCCTCTGAAGCTCAAACTGCAGGTCTTTAATTCTTTCAGGGCAAAGGAAGAACTCTTACAAACTCCTGTGATGTTTTAAGCAATTATTTTGGGGAATTTCCCCAACTGTTGAAATAAAATAAAATGTGCAGAGTTCGAGACACTACGTAAACTCTGGCCTATCGCTGCACCTCAGAAGTAGAATTCTATGTATTCAAAAACTTTTAAATGGTAACTTCACAAGGACTCCTATTTAAAGATAACCTCCTGTGTCAGCTGACTTCCCAGAAACTGTTGCTTTTTTTAAAACAAGTGGGCGGACTGTTGCTACGAGGAAGTAGAAGCTCACGGCCAATGCTGTGCAAGGCCACACCTCTGAGGTCAAGTTACTGCAGGAGAAACGTTTAAATATGAAACTTGTAAAAGGAAATAACATTGGCCAACTGGACCTCATCAGGCACCAGAGATGTGTTGCTCAATCTCCATCAGGCACCAGAGATGTGTTGCTCAAGTATTCTACCGAACACTTTTAAAAAGGCATGGCAACATTTCAAATTACAAAAACAAAACAATATAAAGTTTTTTGGTTACAGTTCAAAATGTATACAAGTGCATGGGTTTTCAGAGTGGAGTGCATATGCTAAACTCAAGTCCTTTTGTTGTTGTTGTGCACGGTGCACAATCAATACTCTCAATGTGAAAGATTACATGTACTTTCTGAACCACACCTTTAAACTATCCCATGACAGGAATTTGTTTTACCTGCCTTCCTCCAAGCGCAGGCGTTTCAGGCAGCTGCACAGCTCTGTCAAATCCTACTGTGCAAGTTTAGGTTTAGGCAAAACATGTAAAATATGATGAGTGATGGACAAGGCATTGAAATGATAGATTATTTTGGGCAAGAATTAAATGCATGAATTTAATGCGCATTAGATATTTAAGTTTATGCTGTGTTTTATTTCCTCCTATTATTCAATCACTAAAATGAGAAAATGTTTTAATTTTAAATAAAAGAGATTAAAAAAAAAAGATAAGTTTTTTTTGCAGCTTGATAGAGAAATAAGTAAAATCTGATTGAAGGAGGTTACCATGGAACCTCAAGAAAATGTAAAGGACTGACTCAGAGTCACATATGCCCAGAAGAAAAATTTGGAACTTACTGGACACTTTGGAAACTTGATCATGAAGTTGCGTGAAGAAGCCAGGGAAAACGTATATGCTAGAGGAAGATGGACAATGACAGTTGGTTGACAGGACTCTCCAGACGCTTTGGTTTAAAAAGCCATAAGCTACTTGATAATCACAGCTGAAACCAAATAGATTAGATGTTGGTCATATCAAACAATTTCTATATGGCTAAAATAAAAAATGACCATAGCTGTTAATGGAAAGGATGGATAAAATTACCATCTATAAGGAGCTGTCAATCTTAGTTCTTCAAGTTCTATGTGGTCACACCTATTGTCTAGTTTGTGTTTGGTTCCAAGTTTCAGTTTACATCACATCTTACCATTAGCAAGTTGACATATTAGTCACTGACAGGCAGTCTGAAGCTACGACTACCTCGAGCTAATGCACAATTCAACTGTTTTTAACATTAAGGTGATTCAGAGTTGTTGATTCCACTACCCTCACGAAAGACACTACAGCTGTGTTTACAGCACCCCCAATCCACAGGTGTGTATACTAAAATTGCCTCACCTTCAGGTCACCAGTGTGGGAAGCATGTTGTTCACACTGATGTGTAAAGGTAGGGTGGAGGCTCAAAGGTTTAGCCGCAGGAGAGAAGCAAGTGGGTCTACTGTGGATCATCACCATGGAGAGGCTCAGCTCAATTTCCTCCCAAGACCTTGATGATGGTTGTGTTTGGCATGTAACCAGAGACAACGGGAGGATCTGAACAAACAAGGGTGCAGCCACCAAACATCACTAAGGATTCCCCTGCTTGAGGATTGGTGCACGTTATTCCTGTGGTTTCCCTTAAGGAGGGCATCACTTAAGGGGCTTTAAAGGGTTGGGATAAAAGTGAAATGGTAGTTATTGTGACAACATTTAAAAAACAAGAAAATGTAGAAACGCATTGCACTGGGTGGGGTTGTCCAAACACCATATTTCGGGAATGTTTGTATCTTAAGATGGGTTTTGAAATGGTGGGTCTGGACCAAAATGTAGTTTAGGTTGCTAGGTGGTAAGTTTAGTCACTATCTTGCAAAAGTGATACAACTGTTACGAACCATTTATTATTAACCTTTAGTCATACTCTATGTAAGATAACTAACAACTTTTTGGTTTACCTATAGCTATTGTGTAAAACGTAAATTTGGAAAAAATATGAACTGTTTCCAGCTTTACTTTAAGCCTTAACTGAAACAACATTGTATAGAAGCCATTTTTTTTAATTACGCTTTCAATAAAACCTTGAAACTATTATCATGTCATTTTAAGATGTCTGATCAAAAGTAAGGCGGATTCAGATTCAATGTTTTGCCTATTCAGGTTTTTTTTTTTTTTTTTTTGCATATCAGGACAATCAATAATGGTTCAACTGTCTTTTCTAAACAGGTAACACAGTACACATTGGGTAAATTTAGATCTGCTTTTAAGAATCGAAATGTTACAATCGAGGAACTTGATCTTATGCAATTTAAGGATGTTGTGAACTGCTTGTTACCCTTGTTTCACAACCTAAATTATGCTGTTTTACAGCATAGTTGTGCACCAGAACTTGCAAATCGTCAGCACACTGCCATAGCAACGACAAGGCGGATGCAGTCAAGAATCTGCCTGCAGGATAGCGGTGCAAATGCATCTTACTTCTAGGAAATGAAAAACCATTACACACACACTTGGTTTGTGGTGTGAATAAACATCTAACAGTGACAAGTGGAGAAATGTGAGAAAGGTTTAGTGCAAAGGTTTTTGTTTCAATACAACAAAAGCAGTACAGAGGACAGAAGATCAGATCTCTTCTGTGAAGAAAAAGAAATCCTTAAAAGGAGTATTAGAAATTTAAGTCAAGTTTACAATCGTTCTGTTTTTTATTGAATCAATCTATACAGATATGTTAGCTTACATCTGGATCTGAACTAATAATCACTGACTGCTTTCTGTCAGCTTTGGTGCAGTCCGACAGCCCAATCTGCAGTCTTAACACTTCACAGTCTTTGTTTGCTTCTTTCAAACAGACTCAAATGTTCCAGGCTGTTCAACAGCCACAGTCCAGCATGTGGTTGCTTTTGTCTCCTAGTGCATATCCAACATTTTCCCAACAAGGAAACAGAGCTACATCCGTGCTCCAAGCCTCCAAACAAATGATCCAGGGGCTATGAAAGCGCTCTATGGAAATAGGCGTCATGGCTGCACGACATGGAAAAATGAGGCTCTTTCCTTTCTGTTTAGACCGAGGCTAACACCCACTGCCAAGGAAATGTTTATCTGGAACATGTAAACATCACAGAGAATCAAGTGGAAAAAAAAAGGTTGCCAAAAAAAAAAGAAAGAAAAAAAAAAAAAAAAACTGAAAATCCCATTACCAATTATGTTTGCATAGAATAATTTTACATCCATTACAAAAATAAAATCTTTGTAAGTTAGAATAAAACCTAATTGGTTGATGGTTGATTGCTGAAAAGAAAGTTCTCTTTTTGAGGGTGTGTAGAAGGTAGCCAAATTAGGTCACCACTGGTGTGATCATCCTGCTAAAGCTCAAGTCGTTTAAGCTTTCATTTCCATCTTCATGTCCATAACACAAGGGACAACTGGTATGAGGAGAAGAAGCATCCAGCATTTGTCAACTAGCCTCAAAAGTGTCCAAATTCACCTGATCAACAGGGCCAGTGTTGCCCCGAGTCCAGCAACTCCAAAAAGACCAAGGAGGGTGTTCCTCATGGTTGCCTCTGGGTCTTCTACTCTGAAGAACTCTACAAAGCCATCCTGATTCAAAATATTTAAAAAAAAAATTCAGATTAGCACAGATTATTGTGCAATGACAACAGTTATGCAACCACATTTGTCCACTGCTGTACTGTGTCACCCATTTATTAATCACAACTTACCCAAGAGTTGTTTTTCAATAGCCAATCTCTCTGGTAAGACAGCAGGTACGAGGAGATCTCTCTTCCTACTAGCTCTGTTGAGTTCTCTTGACCACACTCCTTTAGGTGCTGACACACAACTGCCCCAAAGGCCACCAGGCTGGTGATCCGACCCCAGTTTGTGGTACCATCTCCAAACAGGCTTTTGGCAACAGAGCTGATGAAAGTCAAATCACCCTGTCTGTTTTCTAATGAAAGTTTGTTGATCATACCTGTAGAGGAAAAACAAAAACAATTTAAGAAAAAAAAAAATCAGGTACGACTTGTGTCATAAACAGAATACACCCTAATGTGAATATAGGGATGACGAATCAGAAATAAATGCAGACTTGAGACATTGTGCAAAGCTATAAACTGCTGGAAAAGGTTCATATCTAAACATCATTCGTGAGTATAATAATAGCAATACCTTCTAACGGTTGGCAAAGGTCATTTAAACCAGCTGAAACTGAAGCACTTCACAGTTCCGATTCGTCGTAACAACCGTTTTGGCGGTGTTTGAGTTGTTTAAAAATGTCGCTCTAACCGTTTCAACGGTTGTCCCAAACACTAAGTAATACAAGAAAACTATTTACAAAGGTTAAAAAGTTTTTAAATTATTCGAAAAATACATTTTAACGGTGGTTCTTCAAGAGAGTATTGGGCAAGCACTAGCACAAGTGAACAGAAAACAGTTGTTACTCACCATTGTATGCATATCTGTGTTTCTCCAAAACGTCGTCCACGACTCTTTTCATCGTCGTAAGCGCTTTGCGTTCGCCCCATTTCGACGGAGAATGAGTTGTAAAGTCTCTGTAGAACTGAAAAATAAGTTCCTTGGTATCGGTATCCAGCACCTCGTCCCCGGCCTGGGAGACATCGAGTTCTGCTTCCGAGTGTGGCTCCGGCGTGCACGGCTCAGAGCCTTCGTCCACCTCACAGTGGCTCTTTCTGGCATGTCCGTTTGCCGTGTTAACCTGGAGGTCCTTGGGTCGCCTTTGGGTTTCGGTGACAGAACTCATTGAGTCGTTGTGGGTTGACAGCGAAGACGCTAAGGCTATAGGCGTGGAGTTTCCAGTGCCATAGTGCATGGTTCCATTAACGACTCCATTTTGAGGGACGATGAAACAGCCTAGGACTCCGGTGGCAACGTTCAACTTAGCTTGGTTGTTCTTTATAATATTCATCCTTGCACGATTGCTTTGGAGGTTTCTTCTTCTTGTTGCTTGCGTTCTCCTTATATGTTAAATTTGTAGGTTGGAAGTTTCGAAAGACTACCTTGCGGAACAACACAAACCTTTCATGTTCAGAATCAATTGCTCATTGCTCGGTTGAGTGTAGACTGCAACGGTCGAGCGGAAGTGAAGTGTGTCTTTTAAGCTGGCTTTGCTACGTCACAAAATGTTGTTCAGGAAGCGGAAGGAGCGTTTGACTGAAATTGAAATATTTTCAATATGTTTACATAAGCATTGAAGATTGAAATGAAATACGGGATATGTATAAATATATATTTTATGTATTACGTAGAATATACGGCATGCGTTTTATGTATTTAAATAGTAAAAAAATGTACATTATTACACCATTACTATATTCACTATTATAGTATGACGAACTGTTTAAAATATGCTCATCACAAGCACAGATAAGATTATTTTATAATCATAAAATACTTGGACACCAGTTTTACATGTTTAGTTAGCGTTTCTTGTTTCATTTGCGTCTAGTATACATTATTATTTTAAAAGGTCATTTCATCCGTAAAGCCATGCGTCATTCATCAGTCAAGTATTTTATTCATAACCGAATAAAATTAAAAAAAACATTCATTATAACTGAACGAAACAAAACACACAATTGACAAATAAACACAGTCGGTTTCACACGTATGACGGCAGTAAGATATGCGTAACTGCTCTTTATCTTTTCGTTTCTCTTTCTAACTATAAATTGGCGAAAAATCTGTCAATTTATTTACTGCAACAATAGGCATTAATAAATGACAGTCGAGTAATTTGTGTATATGATCTTTGACTTAATAGAACCACGGTTGTTGACAAGCTCAGTGTTAAGCTTCATGAAATTGAGCAATAAAGCTCCGTGAACTACGTGCCACAAGTAGAATATAAATATCGCTGCTGCCCCCTTGCGGTACATCCACTTGGTCACGTACAATACACATGGTTCTGGTATGACAATAACAACAGCAAGCACGTTATTCATGTAAAAGTTTATTTCAAATACTGACAAAAATCTGTTCACCTACTTCCACACAAACAAAACATTCCAAGTACTTTCTGAATTCTTAAAAGCTTCTTCTGTCATATCCAGTCATTTTTTTCTTTCTTTTTTTTTTTACATATACAGAATGTAAACCCTTTATTTTTCTTGGAAGCAAGAGGTGCCTCTGTTTCCCTGCAGTTATCACAGGCCAGGATGAAAATTAGTAACAATGCATTAATATAACAGAAAAAAAGAGAAAAAAAAAACAAACAAAATTGCAAGACAAAAACACAGACAATGATTAAAAAGCAGCACAAAAGAACTTCAGAGCACACAACCTGTCATTATTTATATTTTATACATTCTGGCACATTTTTTAATCAAAGCTGAACGAGATACCCTGTGTTGGATTTCAAACATACCCTGCTGTTTTCTCACTGAACTGCAGTTATGAGCCAAGCCAAGTAGTGCTGAAGAACTCCTGTACACTGTTGAGAACTTCAACTTGTTTATGTAGGATTTTGAACCAGTCCATCACCACTCCATCTGACTGAAATTATCAGTCTCATGATACTTTTAGAGTAATGTTCATGGTGTTTTTCTAGTCTTCAGATTAGACTAATGGTCTTTGGTTTATATGATGTGTACATATTAATCCAAATATATCAATGTGTTATGCAGACCACCACCACCTTTTTTTTTGGGGGGGGGGGTTGTCTGCTTGTTAAGTGTTCAGAGTGGAGTTCTCTTTCAGTTCAACTGCACTAGCGTATCAGACGCACCAGTTTTCATTTCAAATCAAACATGACAAGTGAAACAGCACACTTGGTGACACGTTTATCTCTAACAACATAATTTTTAATGTTCGCATTTCAAAAGTGTTATGCTGCAAAGGAGTATAGATCGGGCTTTATTCACCCACACATATGACCTGTTGTTGTCAATCAAAGCCGCCCACACTTTTTTCCACCTTTCCCCAACTCCCCTACCAAAAGTTGCATTAGTTTCAACTAAACACTTTTTTTTAAGTTTCTCACTGAATTTGCACTTAAGTTTACCACAAACTAAATAAAACGGTCAGAGAAGCCAAAAGAGATACTTATGTTGTTAAGCAATGAGTGTAACAAAGAGGACAGGTGTCTCCACAGGGCATCATCTCGTCCATTTGTCTTAGAATGAATCAGCAGCATTTACACATATATTCATATGTTAAAGATTCACAAAGCCTCTGCTATTGAGATACAGCAGAAGTATAGTGTAAAACTGAAAGGAGAGGAACCATTAGATAAGCACAGGCATCGACAAGAGTGAAGCAGCAGGTAGAGGGAAAAACATGAAATTCCGTCCTGATTAATAATATTTACAATGTCTGAAACAGGGAAAGCCCTGCACGCACACACACGGACGCACACACAGACTTCTTTCGCCCATTTTGACACGTTTAAAATCTCTGTGAAAATCAGACAAGGCTGAGGATGTGATGGTACATGCGTTCTACTGCTTATTCTACATGGGGTGTGCCTTTGTGAAGTTTCCCTGAAGCAATATTTTACAAGGAGGTTGATTCTCAGCAAAATGCAGTGTCCAGATTTTTTAGGGAGTCGAACATGTGGATAGACGCTGTGCATTATAATTCTATTGTCTTTTGCGTTTGCTATAGTTACCTGTTTAAATGGATAAACCACAATGACAGGTGGCACACAGCCCCTGCACTGTGTTATACAATCCCATAGCTTTGCCAAGTTTTGAGAATAAGCGCATACTGCAAGCATGCAAATGTCCCACTTTAGGCTTGCAGTGACGTCGCTGTGGCATGAGCCGACAGCTGTCGTCTTCTACCGCCTCCGACACGATTCAGTCTGTGGTGTGCATCAATTTGAGAGAAGACAAAATATTTTGCAGCCATGGCAGTGACGGAGGTAGAAGCAATANATGTCTCAATACTTTATATATAATCATATGTATATGATTAGATGGTACAAGACACATTACATGTGCATCTGAGCTGGACCACTGCAGTGTAAGTGAGCATTACCATTTGTTTGAAGCATTGTAGCAGGTCCACTTCTTTAAAAAAAAAAAAAAAGGGGTTTAGCTTATCTCAAATTACATGCTTGTTGGGAGTATTACTTAAAGAGGCATATTACTCTATGCAGGGCACTTCAACCCCCTCCTACCTCTACAACAAATCTTGTAGGCCATTGGTAAACACACACCTTGTTGCAACACAATAAGAACAAAAATAGGACTGATGTCACCAAATGGCAAGGGAAACCCAGTCTTTAAAAATAATGCAAGCAGATACACATCTGGCTGTTGCCCTTGGGCTGTGAACATGAGTAATTGTACTTAGATTGTCTGGGCAGCAATAAGAAAAGGAATGAAGTTAGAGTTTGGACATTTCAGGGCGCAGTGTGTTTGTCTCGGTGCATCCTATTACTAAGCAGACGCACCACTCCTGTAAGAAAAACGTGTCGATTTCTTTAGTTACATGTTACAATCATGCAGCATATTGAGAAAGAACAGGAACAAAGGGGGGGGGGGTAGCATTAAAGCAAAAGATGCAGAGATAGAAAAATCCCTTTTTGGATGAGCTGTAGCAGGTGACCTCTAGTTTTGTTCGACAAGGGGTAAAATGCAGGATGAGACACAAGGAAGCCTCTATTTACCAACTCTTTAACTAGGAGCTGCCTTGGCACATTTGGTATGCAAGCAATTATTCACACAGTCCTCCAACACCTGCTGTAGCAGCAGGCCACCGGCAGAGAAAGGGAAAATGTGTATCAAAGAACACGCTGCGGCCATGGTTCCAATCTCCTTTACATTTACATTATTTTGGTGTTGATAAGGATGCAAAAAAGAAGAGACAGACTAAAATATACTGTACAGAATACAAAGTGCATTAACTCACCCAACCCCTGCCTGATGACACACACCTACTGTGATGCATCTTGGAACACAGAAAAAACCAAGACATAAGGGAGGCGGCAGGGCAGAGTGCACAGAGGGGGCAGAGCTGTGCGTGGTGGGAAGCCAGAGAAGACTGCAAACTCGTAGGTTGCAAGCACCTCCATCCCGCTCTCTCCCTCCCTCCCTTCTACCCTGCCCCAACTACATACAAGCAAATGGAGTTTTAACTTATACAACTCTGCCCGATATGTAAAAGCCAGTGGTGCCCAGGGATGAAAAGGGAAGACAGAAAAGGGAGGGGAAAAGGGGTGACGTGTTAGGGGACGTGGGTGAAGTTGAGGAGAGAACTTTCCTGGGAGCCCTGATGTGATAGAGGCTAGCCAGCTAATTTACTGGTGACCAAGGAGGATTTTCTCTGTGGCAGATCCTGGGGCGTGGGAATGTGGTCACCGGTCACCAGGTTTTTGTCGGGCCCTGCCACAGGAAGCTGCTTGTTCTTCATCTTTGCTTTGGCCATGTTGTAATCGCCCGAGTCGAAGTACTTTTGCTGTTTAGGAAAAAAAGGGAAAGGTGCATGTTTTACTCCTGTACAGCATGTACACAAAAACCCCAACGGTCGTAAAATTTGAATGTTGGGTTTGCATGTTTAGATAATATATAATGACTTTCAAAGGAGAGCTTTCAAGTCCTCAAACACACACACACACACATATACAGTCCTTTTGGCAGTTGAATCATATTTGTTTGCATTTTTTGTCCTTTTCCTTAGAAGTTTTTTTTTTTGTTAAAACAAGACTGTGAAAAGAGAATATTTTGCATTATGTAGAAACTTGAAATGGAACAATGCAACTCTTTCAGTGCTTTAGTAACTGGTTTAACCTGTCTGAAAATAAAAATGTGAACCCCTATTTAGACACTGCATTATAATATTCCTCAGCCCTCCTTGCACCCTTAAAGTAGCTCTTCAACAAAAGCTTATCTTGGTCCTTACATTTAATCTAATGGTACCAGGGACTGCTACACCGACGTAAGCTTGATAGAGACGTGGTTCAGTGGAACCCTAAGTGCTGCAGATTAGAAACTCCCTCGTTGGTCAATATACTAGTTGACTGTTTGAAAGACATGCAAATACAAATAGTGGACTCACGATAAATATATCACAAAAAGTTGCATCTACTATTTGACTGTTTCTAACTTTTGAGAGAATAGTCAAGTTGAGAACATTGTGCTGATTCTATCTCAAAAAGTAGAAAGTCCACTTTAAGAACCTGTAACTGTTTGATATCATCATTCTCTGATGAGTTTCATTTTGGGACTTAGCTCATGATGAAGCACTGCAATTTAATCTTTGGCTTTGCCATCCACCTGCCTCGGCTACACCTACTTCCAGTCACTGATTTCCCAGAATGACTCTCAGCAGTCTCCAGAGGTGGAAGTTCTCCCAAGCATATATAGAGAATGTGTAGGTGGAGTGAGCAACAGTTTCTCCAGTTAAGGGAAAAGTGAGAGAGTGTGATATTCCTGTATGATTTGTCCTGCTGTACAAATTACAAATAAAAACAATCCATCAAATAGGCTGCTGTAATTCACATGTTATGGATGTGGCTGCATTGACATTCTGGTCTGCTGACACCGAGCTGGTAGAGGAATTATTTTCCCCTCTGCAGTTCTTTAACGCAGCCGTGAAAGGATCAGTGAATGTACGACAATATGGAGCCTCACCACAGAAACATGAGGTTTTCATGTTTCCGAAGATTGAAATATTTCTGCAATAAAACATGTTACTATGAGGTCTGCCTTGGGTCAGTGATCTGCATGATAAACCCATAATGGAAATGTAAGGTATGCAGTCAACAGCTGTGTTTTGTGTTTTTTATGGTCAGTGTTTGACCTTAACTCAGCTGAGTACAAAACAAACAGCACCTGAATCAGAAAACTCTACCTTGTACAAAAATAGAAAATGAAAACAAATGAGTCAGCCTACAACTGTATTTTAGCATGTTGGTGATCCATTATTCAGGCCTCAAAAGAACATTCCTTTAAAGCATCTCATTATTACTGTGCAGTGCAACCAGTAATACTACCAGTTTCTAGTTTTTTCTCCATTAAATGAAGATGGTGAAGCTCTGAACAGGCATCAGGTCAACCAGGACCTGAGCAAATTTAAGTTACAGAGCTGTTGTCATGAGCACCAAGAGTATAATAATCTGCAGGTTTGGTTTGACAAACGCAAATGCAAATCTGAGACACCGTGGACTGCAGCTTTCGCTGTAGCCTGGTACCAAATGACTAACCCCTGCCATAAAAGATCTTTCTGCCAACAGTGCATGTAAATAGGAGAAAATACAATTGGTGAAAAAAAAATCTAACTTTTTTAGTGTTAATCTTTTAGTGTTCATCATTCATCATGATAACTGGTATAATCTTTTGTATTTTTTGCAAGTTATAAATATTTGTATATGCATTGTATTCAATATTTTTAAATATTTTAATGTTATACTTTTTTGTTATTTTAAGGGAAAGACCAACAGGAGGCAAATAAATCAAAGTGAATATAAGTGAATATACTGTGTTTCCAGAGACCAGCCTTTGGTTCAAACATAAATTAATAAGAAGTAGCATTTATAGTTCTACTTATTACATGTTTTTAATAAAGGACAACTGTCAGAATTGTATGAGGAATTTCACATTGTGTTGAATTCTACTTTTATGCTTCTTATTCTGTCTTAAAATCCTATCATTTAATTGTTTTATGTTTTTTGCGACACCTTGACAACTGTGTTAGCTGTGAGAAAATTGTATTATATTAAAACAGTTTTTGGTACAAAAAAGGTTTAGGACCTTTGGTCTAAAACAAATAGTGATGTCACTCTTCTCTGACAGTCATTACTGTCTCTGTTTGGTAGAGACTTGTTGTCAGACGTAATTAAACAGCTGAGAATAACTGCACCCTGAATATAAATATACTGCAATCAAACTGGCTTGTTACTGTCACAGTGTTAACAAAGACAGTCACATCCTGTTTAAACACCTGAGTTTAGGCTGTTCTATATGCAGCTTTCTCTGTTGTAACTTTCTCTATCTCATTCATATTGCTCAAAATAATCTTTTTTTGCCTAGATCCATTTATTTTAAGCTACATTAATTTTGAATTTACATGCCTCTACAACCAGTACAATTTTATTCAGACATAACTGCTTCTTTCAACTGTCTCCTACCCCTTTCTGTAGTCTCTTCATGAGGAAGTCTGAGCCACCGGGCTTCTGGCCCAAGCCAGGGTACTTGGCCTTTAGCTTGGCCTCCTCCGCCTTCACTGGGTTTGCATTCTTTTCCTGTGAGTCCTGTAGAAGTGAAAAACAAACTGTCATAAGCAACCTTTACTTTTGCACAGAAACTTTTTTGAAATTAACCCCTAATATCTTTTTAAATGTTCAAGGAAAAACAGAATAATTATAATTAAATACAAATGAAATTGTTAAGTTTGACAGTACTTGGGCAAAGGGTTTTAAAGAGGTAATGCAAGGAGAAAATAAGCAAGAAAAAGAAAAGTGACAGCAAGAGGAATCTTTAATGCAGTCTCTAATACAACGGTCATGGCTGCAAAGTCCAAACTAAAATACAAGGAAGAATCTGAGACCTTCAATCAAGAAAAACCTTTTATAGGCAATCTTAAGGCATACAAAATTATTTGTTTGCATTAATGGAAAAGCTGTTAAATACCAAGAAAATAATTGCATATATGAGGTGATGTTTTTCTAGGTTGAGAAACAATGCCTTGACAACGCCCTCTAGTTTTTATGAAGCAAGAAGTTTACAAGAATTATTTTACAAGAAGTCTAAGTGCTAACAGAACTTGTCAGATACCTGTCCTTCTAGTTGATCAACTGAATAGGCATGAAAATGAAATGTGTAAAATAGGAATGCAGTGAAATTAAAATTCTTGGCCAAATCCGAAAATGAGGAACCCAAGGCCAAAAACCAAAACACCTAATTAAATTATTATGCCAATTATTAGTACCATTGCATTTATGGCTATGACTGTGTACTAAACCTGAATAAAATCAAGGCACTGCAATTGCATAAATTGATATTAATGTTACAATGAATAAAACAATTAAAACATTATGAAAATATTTATCTACCACATTCCAACAATGCACAATATAAAATAAAACAAAATTCTAAATAAAATGTCAAAAAAGTTGACGCCGCCTATGTGTACTTCCTGTTTCGGATGTTTTGTTTTGGTGATAAAAGCCTTTCAAAAATGCACTTTTGGGCCATTTTAAACTGAAAATTTTTTCCTGCCTTTTCCTGTACAGCATTCATTCATTCATTTTTTAATAAAATAAAATATAAAACTGGTGTCTGAGAACACTAGCTCTTTTAAAAACTGCTTACTGTATATTACAAATCAAGTGCAAAGTATACTCATTCTCCCATACACCTAAACCTATCAACATCATAACACACTGATAATCCTGCTGCAAAGGTTGTTAACATCTGTAAAATATGGGGAATCAAGCACTGAGGTCTGCTGCAGATGCTGTCACAGTCAGGAGAACACTGAACACAAGGCCTCTCACAACAATAACAGTGTTGGCTTCTCTACGTGCATCGCTGCAAAATCACATATTTTCTGGGTGACTTTGAATTTATTAAACCCTATATGTAACGCTTTTGGACACCAAAACCTTCACCCCTCCACCTCTAGAGGACAGACCAATGAGGCCCGAGCTATGGGTGGACTCGTCAGCCAATGACACAAGCCAGAAGACAAAACAAATTGCCAGGGGGAGTTCTGGGTGTTGTGACAGCAGCAATAAAAACAGTTTCAGTTCCTCACGTTTCTTCATGTGTCTGGGTTTTTACCCTTTTCTTTATGTGAGACATATGCAAACACTTTACCAGTGCTAGCTGACGTTAGCCATGTTAGCCAACAACATCCAGAGCAGCAGTGAGCAAACTCACCTGCTTTTCGTCCTCATATTCTGCCTGTGTGTCCGAGTCAAGGTTGTCTGACGACATTGTGCACGTCTGGCGGACAGGGAAACTGCCCCCGTTAAAACAGACAACTCAAATGGAGTGTGAATATTCAAGGAGCTCTATCCTGTACCTGTACCTCAGCCTAATCCTCCTATTCTGAAACACGACTGCTCCCCAACAAAAATGGCGTAACCAAATGTGACGTCACTGTTGTAAGTGGATCGCAGATGGAGCCCCGCTTATGATTGACATATACAGTATCCAATAAGGGAGGATATTATCGCAGCGAGCCAATGCTATGTCTTCTAAGTAGGGACAGCGTATAAACAGACAGGTCGCTGTCCAATCATTTTAAAGAATACAGCTTGAGGATGAACCGATATGGGACCGCAGTGCATCAAGACAAATCATCTAAAATTATGTAATAATAATCATCATCAATCAGCGTATTAATAAATTCGAGATTGAAAGAAAATATTGCTAAGAGCAGTGTTACAACTGTGTCCTAACTGTTTCAGTGACAGCCGTGTCGTTATTTTCCAAGTCTTCCTCAGAGGATCTAAAACAGAATTCAGTAACCTGCCATTTACTTGTTAGGCTGACGTGTTTTTCAATAATTAGTGTGAATGTTAGTTAACAGGTTTTATTAAAGCACATTCAAACTACCGAAGTAGAATATAATTTTATTTTACTGTCATCTGGGTTATAGCTAATTGCAGCAGGTGTCAGTTTAAATGTACAATTAATAAGGCAATTAAAAACAGCAGTCAACAGCTGTAGTCAGCTCGAACTGTTGAAAGTGCCAACACGTCCACCGCTCTTTTGTGATATATTTGGAGAACTGATTTGCCTTTACAGATCATTATTGGTGATTTCTGTGCTATAAATAATGGCATGTGTACAACGTCAGAAAACAACTCAGGTAAAGTGGCCGAAGTTTACTGATGATGTAAAACAGCTCTGCTAGCGCCATTTTCGTATAAGGGTCCTAACTTTTTTCGAGGTTTGACAAAAACTCTTATTTTCACAACAGGTCATTCATTTTCTTTAACTTATAAACATGTGATTTGTAATATAAAATGCTCGACAACGTAAATATTTCTTAAACGCTCGTATTCTCACATTGTGTTTAAATTATCCACATAACCACAAAATGACTTAACTGTCGTAAAAAACAATACCATTGCCTATAATTGTATTTTTTAATTGACACAAATAACAATCAACAATCGGTAGTCAGTTTATTTTTTTAGTTATTATTAAGTTACCAATCAATCAAAGTTTTATTAGCATCTACAGTACGTAGCATGTGACCAAGTCGTTGTTATTTTCAGGATCCATGCTAATTGAAATTCAAGATTGCTTTGTTTCATAACGCACATTTTAATAACTTTATTAATTCCTAAAAAAATCACTAGTAAAAATGGCCAAAGTTATAGTAAGCTATGGACAATAGAAGCATACATATTTAACTCATATTACCTATTACCAGTGGGGTACAACTTATTTAAAATATTACTCTAGTTTCCTGATAATTGTAATACCTTTTCTTTTTATTGTAAAAAAGCAATACCAAACACTTGATACATAATGATATTGTGTTATCTGTGTTATTCATATAGGACTATTGGTAAAAGTCACAAGAAATCATGACTTTACAGCCATCTACAATTTGTAATTTAAAGCATAAGTAATGTGGTGGTTCAGTATTTACATTAAGCCTCTAACAGTCATCAAGGTTTGGGGCTCCCAAATCCCTGGTCCGGGGACTGGTGCTGGTCTATAAGTCATAGACATTTTCTTTTTTCATTAAATGATAATCTGGCAACGTTTCAGAACATTAGGTCATAAAACCTAAACGTTGTCTTATGTTTTATTTAAAAAATTGACTTACAGTGAAAAAAAACCCACATACAGTGTAGCCTATAAAATAACAGCTTCTGGCTGTTTGTGTTTGTAATGTCAATGATAACTGTGATTAATATGCTCTGCTCTCGTCACTTGTGATTCATCTGCTTCGTTCTACAGAACACTCAACTGTTGCCAAACCAGGTCTTCACAGAGCAGCAGTCTCTGGTTGTTATAAAGAAACTCCTGGCAATTTCAGTATCAGGCATCACATACCTCCGGGGCCTCTTCCCAGAGAAAGCCTACGGAAACAAATATATTGATGGTTAGCTATTCCGCAAAAATACATTTATTAGCATATCGTGTAACTATTCAAAAATAATCACAGAGTTATTTTTTTCTCCATTTTTCTCCCACAGATCAAAAAGTAATGATTCTCAGAGAAGAGCGCAGTTGTCCAGGGGCCAGTCAGATTGTCTTGTGGTAAATATTTCAACATAGTTTTTAATCAGACAGTAAAATATGCCCTTTCCTGTTTTCGAACTCAATTTCTCTTAAAATTTAAACCACAGATTTAGTTGGAAATAACTGAACTGGTTTTTCATTATATTGATTATATTTATAGAATATATAGATTGTCTTATTTTGCTGATATATCTTGTGATGCCACCAATGACATCTATTACACTATGTTTACTCATTTGACTAACTGTTCTATGTCACTTTGGATTTAGTATGCCTATTTTTCAAAAATTTTCCAGGATGCAGGGATGTTTTGATGCCATAGAGAAAAAATATGTGAGTCACATTCAAAGCTTTCCAGACACCAGACCAAATAAATCTGTCAAGACATGTTTGACAGTCACGAGAAGATCACACAACAAGCACACATGAGATGTGACATGTAACATTATTCATTGTGTGTCATTATGACTAATGTCTTCAAAATATTGTTTTCAGCTCCGGATTGTTTTTTTGTCCGTGAGTATATTTTATTTGTTAAGTTTTAATGTTGATTTTCACATTTGATGGTTAGACTTAGTAAAAAAAACACATTTGAATTTGAATTGAGGCAATGTGCACAGTAAATATACAATATACAGTCCAGACGTGTGAGTGTTTTTCTCCCTAGATCTACACGGACCAAGACCACCCTGAGGTAGAAATACACTTTATTATAAGATAATATACAGGTGATTGCAGGAGCTGTGATAAGTGATGTTGTACATTTGTGTGACATCTGGTCTTGTGTTTTAGAAAGTGACAGAGTTTTACCAGTTCAGGATTCAGTACACTGCACAGGGCGCTCAGATGGACTTTGAGAGGTTTGGATTGGTCTTGCTCCAAAGATATTGAACAGACCTGTTTTTAGAAAAGGAGACTATCAAACAAGAAAAATAGCATTTCTTATAAAACAATTATTACGTACAAATAAAACAATTCAGTACACTATGATGTGAGGTTTCTTTGCATCACTGGAGAAAAACATGTCGATGTTGTTCACAAGTTAACAAATGTTCCACAGGTGATTCATATTTAATGTATTGTTCTTAAAAACCCAGGAAACATCTGTTACTGACTTAAAAACAGTTGTAGCTGTAGTTACAGCGTCTCTCGGCAGTTAGTGCGTAAGACTCTAGTGCCTCTCCAGTAAACAGGACTTTTACCACCTGTTTTGTTCAGTCTGAGTGCACTCTTTGAGGCAACATCTGTTCATTCATTCCACACAACTTCAATATAAAGCTGTTGTTGGCACGGCCTCTGTTTCTAACCCTGCTTCCTGTCTGAACCAGCAAGAACAACAACTACCACAGCAAGATGTCAACAATGTCTAGCGGTGACACCAAGAAGGCCAGCATCCTGCTGGTAAGGAAGCTCTACACACTGATGCAGAACCTGGGTCCTCTGCCAGACAACATCTTCCTCAACATGAAGCTGGCCTACTACGACAACGGTAGCACACACAAAGTCCACACATGAGGAACATGTTTTTGTCAAGCATCTCTGAGTCATAACACACAAAAGACTGTCTGTCTGTGTGAACCTCTCACAGTCACTCCTCAGAACTATCAGCCACCGGGCTTCAAAGAGGCTGACACCAACACTTTGCAGTTTGAGATGGAGCCCGTGAAACTGACCATGGGTGAGGTCAAAACTCCGTTTCACACTCTGAAGATGGACATGGCAACAGAGAGACACAGACTGGAGGAGGTGAGCCACAATGATTCATGGGAGATAGGCGTCACACACTTCTTTTTTTATTTGAGTTGCTGTAAGTCGACATAATATTAACTGTGTAATTCGCTTGATGTCTGAAGGTGGAGGAGAGCGTAAAAGTGACAGACGAGTGGGTTTTGGAGATGGAGGAGGAGAGTGTCCTTTCACAGGTCAGCACACAAACAACTGCAGCCGGACAAAGTCATTTCTGCCGTGATTTGTTCACCCACAGTCCTGCGTTTGACTCATGTTGTAGTAAAGAGGAATAAATCACGTTATAATCAAATTCATGTTCACGTTTACATCAGATTATGTCAACTCAAACGACGTCTGCTCCACATCTGGGCCAGGCAACCTTTTACTGTCAAGGGCCACTTCAGTTTTTATAACATCCATCAATGGCCGCAGTAAATCACTGAACACATTCGGTATATCACACTGACCTTTCAAATGCTGCAACTTGAGCTCTTCTACTAATCAGATGTTATGATGATGGAGAAGATGTTCAGAGTAGGTCTCGTCAACTTCATCACGTTTGCCCTCCACTTACCATAAGGTCAAACACACAAATTCAAAAACCTGCTCAGTGTCATGCAAGTAAGTCGTGCTGCCATTCAGACTAGTTTATCAGTAAGCGTGTTTGTTGTTGTGGTCAGCCAGTATTGACCACATTAAAGATAACTTGTTTGTGATCTATAGAGCCACATGATTGAAGACGTGGAGGGTCCTGCCTCAAATAACACAGACTCCAAACACACCGGTATGTGCATAAAAACAACAGCGATGTTAGCCTTTGGGTTACAGGAAAAGGAAATCACAAATTGCAAATTATATTTTCTGGCTAAAGTAACAAACATTCTATATTCTTTATAGGTATATATGAGTACATGTCTCTAATATTTTATCTTTAAAATGTGTTGAATAAAATGTTTGCTGGAACTGCCAGTGTTAGAGTCTGATTGACTGACTATGACGTACGGTGTTTTTCTTTTCACTGAATGTGAAAGTTAAGTCTTTAATCTTGCATTTACTTGATACAGAAATACAGATGAGCTGCAATGAGACTGAGATCCTGGATGACGTCACAGAGGTTGGTGTCACGTGGCCTGCAGAGAGCGTTTTCCCCACCGTGGGCTCAACCATCATTTCAGCTTTTTCTTCTGTTTTTATGCAGACATCGGTCTAGCTCTTATTTCTAACTTTTCCAAACATTTTGAAAAGAGCCTGTTGTCAGCACACACACGTGTTCACAATAACAGTTGTTGGCCTGTGAAACACACAGCTGAGAGCCACTCCAAGTGAACATAAGGTCAGTACAATCATAGGCCATATGTCTCCTCTTAGGTGGGCACTCTGGTGAAGAGGACCTCTGACATGGAGGTGGATGTGAAGAGGATGAGGAGTGGACGTGTCATTTCAACTGCCACGGTCAGTCAGCCTCTCAAAAGTCAACAGCTAACAACCTGCTGTGGTTTAACCATCTCAGATCGCTTCACACTGTCTTCATGCACACATCTGTGACAATTGTGAATCTGTTATATTTGGAAGTGTCACAGCTTTCTTTAATTGTGTTAACTTTATTTATTCATTTCTTAAACAGCCTCCAACGGTGATTAAAGTATTAAACGATCATGAATGAATCTAATAATTGTATGGCATTTTAAATTGTTGTTGTTTTGATGCAGGAGTCAGATGTTACTGTCAACAAACCAACAGCTTTGACCAACAAAATGGTGAGAACAAGAATCCCAACCCTTTTTTTATGATTTCATGAACTACACTTTAAGTTAAAACAGAAATGCTTCCACTTTATGTATTTTGTATTATTGAACAAGTATGGTGTCAGAACAACACTTCAAGTTATAAACAGTCTCGTCTGGTGTTTTCAGATTTGTCAGTACAACATGCCCAGCAGCCAGGAAACACCATCCACCACCACGTCAAAGAGAAAACGCAAATTCAGCGAACCCAAAGATCAGTACTAAAATACCTCCGAGTCTGTTCACACCGATGGAGTTCTGTTCCCACGTTAACTACGTACATGCCATACAGTTTATTTTAAAGAAACATTTGAGAAGCCTTTACTGGAAGTTAGTTTATTTTAGAAGTTACACCTCTTCTCTGAACAGTCAGCAGCTCATTCTGTGGAACGACAGATGTTCAATGTGATGTGACAAGAGTTTAGTCATTCAGTTTAAATGAGGATTGAAAAAGTGTATTCTGTCTCTCAAATGTTCTACCAGTTAAGGTGTCATGTGACAAATATTCCTTAGTCAAAATAAAACCTGTTCATGTCAAGGGTTCACTGTGGTTTTCTTTATAGCAGTGGTTTCTAAATCTTTACTGCAGCGCCACCTGTTGTCCAGTCCTTCCCCACTAATCTCTGAAAATGTAACTACAAACCAGTGCAGTTTTCCCACTGTGGCAGTAGGAAAACAAAATATGTATTTAAAATTGTATTTGCTTAGCTCCCTCTGCAATATTTCTGCGCCCCACAAAGGGGCCCTGCACCCCACTTTGGGAACCACCGCTTTATACTGCTGCTCCTTCTTATTAAGTCAGATTCATAACTGCTCCAGATGAGATTAGACATTCAGAGCAGGATTACTGATTTCCGCTGAACTTGGCAGAGCAGTAGAACACGACCTAAAGAAGGAAGATATACTTCTGGAAAAGATCAGAATAAGGAGGTGGATTAGAAGAATTACAGACAGATTATGGAGTCAGTGTTGGCATTTATGAACAAGTGACTAGTCATAATTAATATTTCTGAAGTGACATTGGGTCTATAATAACAACAACCCACAAACTGAGACAGAGCCAGTGTGACAATGCCATCGTTTTATTAGATATGACTGTGTTATGAAATGTTTTCTCCTTCAGTGTTGTTCATGTTAGTTTGAGAAAGAAAAAAAAAACCCAAACAAACCTGCCTTAAGAAAAACAAACCTTTATCTTCAAATAGACCCTGAAATGTCACAATTTGCATGTGGGGCCTTAAATGAAGCTGTTAAGTGAAAGTGGATTATATCGGTACACAGTGACCTTTGGGTCCAGATAAGGGCCCATCAGCAGCCTCCCACCCGGCAGGCTGTGTGTTTTTAATCTCCCATTGTTTTTCCCTGAGAGAGGGACATTTGCTGATAGACTGCCTTAACCTACTGCGGATCAATACTGCAGGAAGCCTTTGTGATGCATATCCGAAACACCCCCTCACCCCCTCACTCTCTCTTCCTGTGTCTGCAGCAAGCCAGAGGGTGGTGAGAGAGAACGAGAGACTCCATCAAATCAGCGCTCACTTCCTCACAGGGCCATTGTCTTGACCAGTGCCTTTTATTTCTCCATCTCTGTGGGGTTTTATGGATATTTCTGATAACAAAGAAGCCGAACAGACCCGGGAAATCCACTGTGGACCATACCACCTCAAACGCACACATCATCGACACTATTTATGAGCTGTGAAATTAATCAGGGTTTTGTCCTAACCTCATGGCACCAACCCAGTGGCATTTTCCAACACTTTTTTATGATTTTGACAGCCCAGAGTTCTCTGGGTATTGATAAGTGATAAAATGCACTGGCAGTTGAGGCACACATTCAGTCCACTGATGTGCTGGAGAGAACAAATATCTCTGCTATGGACATTATACCAACACTACATCACTGAAATAACGTGATTCAATGAGCCCAAAAGGTAAAACTATCCTGTGAAGTTGGAAATAAAAATAGGTGTTTATTCTAAAATACAGATGTGAAGATTTAAGGGTGGACCCAAAAAGTGAACAATAACAAAAGAATCTGACTTGTCAGAAATGTCTTTCAAACCAAAGAATAGCTGTGAAAAGGAATCTATGCACCTCCCGCCCCCCACACTCCCATCCTTCACTCTGATTGTGGGACTCTACATCATTTCTGTACACACATCTCCCAGAAATGAATTCTGAAATTAAATTCAGGGACACACGTCCAGCGGCCAGTGTTAACAGATCAATCAGCTGGTCAAACAGCAGGGGGGGCCTCGCTGGACGCCACTTCAGACCAATCAGAAATCGGTGTTGGGCTCCAGCTCTGAGTCAATAGCTTTTGGTCCGAGGGCTGCTGTCTCGGTACACGGTCAAGGCGAGACCCCCTGACAGACTGATGGACAGACAGCCGCAGTCCATCCCAGGGCTCACTATAGATTAAAGCCAGCTTCTGTGAGCCTATAGTCGCTGTGCGGTGATTGTGCCTGCAGGGCCTATGGGCCCCAAGGGGGGGCTGGGTTTTACAGCAAAAAAGGGGGGAGGACAGAGGGATGGAGTGGACACCCATCCCAGGGACCGTGACCCTGTTGACCTTGCCAGAAGGGCAGCAAATGTTTGGAAGCTAATTAGAGCTCAGCGCCAAAACGTTGGAAGAAAATCCTGGAAAATGTGTCAATCTCATGTTCCTCAGAGAAAGTCAGACCAGGACAAGGATCAAGTGAACACCGACACAGACACACTTTTACTGTAGCATACACTCTGTACACTGTAGGGTGTAACAACAGGTCCAAAAACTGAATGACTTACAGAAGGTCATCTTTGAGGTCCTTCACTGATGTGAATTCTGGAATTGTTAAAAACGCAAGAAAGCAAACAGATGACCATGAAATCTATATTTCACTACTAAATTTGGTGTCAAATATTTTCTTACAAAAACATTTAAGACATAATACATGTGTTATACCACCTTCCTTTTTGTTAAAGTAGACCTGTAAAAACTAAGTTATGAACCATGAGAAATAAACATACCATTTCAAATGTAACCTTGATCATTTACCTTTTTGTTTGTTTGTTTGTCTTTTATTTTATTTTTTTTACAAAGAATGAAATCCTGCGGTTGACGGAGCAAACTAGAAAATTAGTATTTAATAGCATTAGGTTAGCAGTAAAACTACCTGTTTACATAAAAACTCCTAATGGCAGTTTATAATGCACTACAATATATGAAAATGACATATTAACACAGATCTTTGAATGTGTTTCATGTGTTGCACGTGGCAAATCTTAACATAGTTCTTCATCACGTTCATATTAAACGACTTATTACTTATATTCCTTCCATCATACAGAATATTGACACTATGTAAACACGACTGAGGAATTCACGCACAGGAATTACAATATCCACAACGACCACAAGGGGGAGATAGGTAGCTACAAACGGAGCTGCACGTAGCGACGCCTCCACAGATAAGACCTGCTGTCACGAGAGAAAACAAGCGTCTTCTTTTCTCACACATGCTTAAATCAGTCGCTACAGTTGGCCTCCTCACTGTACCTAATTTAACAAGCATGAGTTCCCACTAAACAGCCGACCACGGTCTATTCAGCTCCTCTTTTTAGAGACACTGCAGCGAAGTCAACGCTATTGATCCAGAGAAAAAGAAATGATAAAAGATTGGGAGACCAAGAGCAGGTGGTAGTGGTCCCTCACCCAGTATTTACGGTCAGCGCAGCAGAGTAGTGAGGGGACCAGTACCTACTCCAAACAGATGCTCAAAGTAATGGGATGTGCCCCCATTGTGATCAGAGTGGACAGCTGAATTGTTTACCACCAAAGGACCCTTTTCTTCGGCGGCAGGCCGCCGCACAATGGGGGCCCCCACAGCACTAACACACTGAGGATTTCTGCAGGGGGAAGCAAAGGGAGGGAGGGTGTGAGGGAGTGTGTGAGGGAGTGGGGTGGTGGTGTACATGTGCATCGTAGGATAGGGTGAGCCTCTGTCCGGACCCCCTTTTTTTCTTTCTCCATGCTCAGATGGACCTCTTTGCCCCCCTCACCCTCGTCTTCTCCACAAAGCCTCCCCTAAAGCTACTGGAGGGCAGGGGTTTAAATGTCACGCTTGGCCATCAGAGCTACCAGCCCCCGGCTCGTGTCTCCTGGGGGAGGCACGCCAAGGAACCAGGGAATAAGAGAGAGGGGACAGCTAAGGGGAGGGAGACACTTGCCCTTGTCCCATTGTCCATTGCAATAGGCATGAGCTGCTAACTGACTCCAAATCAAGTGTATCCTCTCGCCACGCGCCCGAGCCTTGTCTTGCACTTGCTCAAACACAAAGGCCCTACTGTGCTTTTTTAATTTTTCACCCTTCGTAGGTGAATAGCAGCTTTGGTCATGGCATGTCTGACAGAGCAGCTTAAAAGGAGGCTGCGGAGTCTAAATTCAGCTGGCCACTGGGCTGAATGATAAACACAGTTTGTCATCCCTGAGACGATCCGCCGTCCGTCCACATCGCACTCTGCCGAGCTGATGAAAATCAATGCTAACTTTTTGCGCTCAGTCACATAAGGAAGACTTGGGAGGGAGGGAGGATGGGGGGGCAAGATGTTTAAAGGAAAACAAGGCATTGGGAAGGAGAGAGTGGGGGGAGGGCTGAGTAGTACGGTGGCAAATGTCAAGCTGAAATACAAGTACAGGACGAAATATACGAGCTGCCGGCCAAGTTTATCCCAGCCCAAGGTCCTATCCCATACTTTACCCACCCACAAGATTGAGTGTTTTATGTATCTATTTGTTCTAAATAGTGGCACACTTGACCTTGAGCTAAGATGTGTGTGCTCGCAGCCCGGCCCGGGAATCATCCCTCCTGTCAGGGACGCGAGGGAGTGACCTTGAACCGCCTCAGCACAGGCGAAGCTGAGTGCACAAACTCATTTAACTCCTGGGTTTGTTATCGACATGCTGTAATCGTTAACATTATGGATGATGAATAACTACTGACTGCCATATACCTGCGCAATATGTCGCTGTGCCACATATTGAGCCAGGCCCGGGGTCCATGATGGCAGACGGACTGCATTGACGGTCACATGACGTGTTTTTTTCTTTTTCCATTCAGTCACAGCAACAACTTGTCAGGAGCGGCAGCACAGCACCAAGGTGCTGAAGAACGTAGATCACTCTCCGGTCGCTGTGCCACATATTGAGCCAGGCCCGGGGTCCATGATGGCAGACGGACTGCATTGACGGTCACATGACGTGTTTTTTTCTTTTTCCATTCAGTCACAGCAACAACTTGTCAGGAGCGGCAGCACAGCACCAAGGTGCTGAAGAACGTAGATCACTCTCCGGCTTTACCTTGTTTTTCTTTTTTTTTTTTAACGTTCTGAGAAACACTTAACCTCCAGCTCCACTTGTTCAGACATCTACAGTGCATTTCTCTCCTCCCTGACTGTGTATTGATCATTGTAAATGCTTCAGTTCACTGTAGTTTGTGGAAAACAACAGACAAAAGGCTGAAAATGATTCTTGTCAGCTTTTCCAGAGCTGA